GTACCCATATTGCACGATAGTTTCGTCTAAAGTTGAATTTTCGCTTCAAAATCAGAATTTAAATCAGAAACAAAAGCTTTTGGAAACATGACGGAAGAATGATTCCTACAAATATGCAAGTTATGCAATTCACAGTAGAGACACTTTCATAAATACAAAGAATGAAGAAAATGGTGAATGTGATGGGAGTCAACAGAACCGATTTGGAAGTGAAAGACTTTTATAATCATTGGAAGTCCGTGGAGTTAATCCATACCATCTCAACACCGATGCCTCCACCACCCAAGAAAATGATGCTGATAGATCCTCCGGTCATCAGTCGAGCTTATTTTATAGTTGTCCGTAAAAACATCTTTATCAAAGCCTACTACGTCGCCATTGGTGAAGAGGGAACACGTATTCGGAAATTTTGCTCTGCAAGGAACGTCGCCCTTATCCACAATATCCACAAGACGGTGGTGAGATAAGTTTCGTTCAGTCTTCTTCCCCTCCAAAAGGTGGAAAAGGCAGGAAATGAGACAAAGGAAAATATCGAGTCTGTGTTAAACTGATCGGTACCAAGTGTCTCTCTCTGATTATCTCTAATTATCTTTCTAGTTAAGATATGTTTCATGTTTGTTTTTGCTTTGTATTTCAGTTATATGTTTGTACTAAATTGATGTTTAAGAAATGGGAAAAACAGTTAAATATCCTAAAGAAACTGGAAATGATTTAAGTTTTTTTCTTAATCTGAAAAAGAATCAATTAATTTTAAATCTTGTAAAAATACTTTGAAGAATATGTAAGTTCTGCAATTGACAGTGGAAAAACTTTCATAGATGAAGAAGAGGTAGAGAGTGAATCCTCAACGAAGAAGATTTAAATTTAACAAAAAAGGTTCAGTTCAAGAGATAGACATGAAACCGAAAAATCGATCACCAATAGCACTCTATTTATACATATAGAAAGAAAATTAGCTTGTGCACAAAAAAATACAAAACAAAAGTTAGCTGCCCAACAAGACTCACCAGAGATTATACAAAAGCGTTATATAAAATGAATCAAGAGAGAACCTTAACAATCGGGGGTGGTGGCGCAGTTGGCTAGCGCGTAGGTCTCATAGCTACTGAGTGATCCTGAGGTCGAGAGTTCGAGCCTCTCTCACCCCATATTTCTTTTTATATTAAATAGTTTATTTACTTGTGCTAGGCCTTTTAGTTTTCCAAAAAGCCCAATTGGTTTCTTTTAGTCTTTCGGTTACATGAGCGATGTTCTTTAGAGAAACTATATAATACAAAAATTTGATTTATAATGATTTTGGAAAAGAACATTAACGTAAAAAGTGAATTTCCTTTTTGCGAAATCTAAAATGTTTTTTTTTTTTGCTTTGTCGTTTCGACGAGGTCCATAGAACATACTTGTAAAAATGATACTAATAAAAAATGGTGATCATTCAATGTTTAATTAGGAAGGTTCATGGAATAAACATTGTTTTCCGGATTAGTTTATAACGATAGGATCTACTTCGTAATCCAATCCAAAAAATTAAGTGTAACTCATTCCCATGATCATGAACCGTAGAAACTTCTAGATTTTCTATATATTTCCACAATACTTCATGTTCTCATAAATTGTTTGGTCGTCCTTTTTGACTACACTCTCACGTGCGCAAGAAACTAAAATATACGGCGCACCACAATCTTCAAGAAAC